TCTCTCTCTCTCTCTCTCTCTCTCTCGCTCTCTGTTAGAAGGTGTTTCTCATGTCTGCAGCATCTATCTATCTATCTATCTATCTATCTATCTATCTATCTATCTATCTATCTATCTGTCTGACTGTCTGTTTATTCAATCTGTCTCTAATCATCATGCAATGAGCTTCTTTAGTTTTTCTAATGTAATGTAAATGCTATTGTTCTTTTTAGTGGATTATTGGATATCGTGAATGATTGTATTATAGCTGGCCAGAACTGGCCATCAAGCTGTATTTTCCATCATATACTTGGCAACATCCCTGTTTGCGTTACATAAAAAATTCAGCCTTGCCCATCCTGTCTATTTCTGTCTGTCATTCTGACTCTAGGTGTGTGTATGAAACTCATCTATATCTCTGGTTGTACAGTACTGCCAGGTTCCCCTCACTGCAAGCAATATTAGGTTATAGTGTTGAAATTAGGCCTACATGATAAGCTTACTATACTGTAACTTATTGCAGTTTTATTCATAAATTAAAATAGGGTATGTTATATATTATTTTATATTTAAAATATATTAATTATATTAATATTATATATATTATATTATATACATAATTTATGTTAAAATATATATTTATTATATACTTTTTATATGTTTAAAACTCAGTTCTTTGTTTCCAGTTGTTACAATTTGTTGTTTTCTCAGTTCTAGGCGTTTTGCAAGTTCCGGCACCATGTTCTACGGTTCCTCATCTGCCAGCATGTCTCTGCCATCCAAGAACCGTCTGAAGCGTCAAAATCGCACTTTTACACAGGTTCTGTATCGGACACTGAGTTATCAGGATCGTCGTTCTGTTACCGACCTACCTGAGCAGGTACGGGATGATCCAGCTGAGCTTTCCACCCAATCAACTGCACCAGGTGTGCTGAAGATATTTGGTGATGAAATCAGCGCCGGCGCTAACTACAAAAGCGTTCTTGCCACACCTCGTTCCAGCGCCCAAGAGTTGATCAAAGAGGCGCTTGAGCGCTATTCTCTAAACAAGGCCTCAGCCTGCAGCTATGTGTTATGTGACGTGATTGGACGGTTTGAGGGCCCAGATCGAAGGTGGCGGACTGAGTGCCTTCGGGCACTAGGGAACAACGAGAAACCCCTCCTCTTGCAGGACCTCTGGAAGCCAAAGGAGGGTTATTCTCGCCGATTTGAGCTCAGAAGAAGAGCCGAGGTTGAGGAACTGGCAGCAAAAGAGAAGGACACAGTCACTGCAGGTAATGCACAAATGCATTAATTGAGAAACATATGCTCAGCAGAGGACGTTCTTGTTGTGTGATTGTATTTCCTAATTAAGTGAAACAGGAAAATCCAATATAGCAGGGCAAAAAAATGGAGTTAAAGCACATTGTCCATTATGTTGATTTTTTTTTCCTGTAATTTTTTTTCAGTATTTACCTTTCCAGAGACATCTGAATGAAAAACATTATACAGGTGCATCTCAATAAATTAGAATGTCGTGGAAAAGTTCATTTATTTCAGTAATTCAACTCAAATTGTGAAACTCGTGTATTAAATAAATTCAATGCACACAGACTGAAGTAGTTTAAGTCTTTGGTTCTTTTAATTGTGATGATTTTGGCATTTAACAAAAACCCACCAACCCACCAATAAATCTCAACGAAATAGAATATGGTGACATGCCAATCAGCTAATCAACTCAAAACACCTGCAAAGGTTTCCTGAGCCTTCAAAATGGTCTCTTTTTTATTGCAGACTAGTCATAACACTGCAACTCTCTCTCTCTCTCTATCTATCTTTCTGTTTGTGCCTGGATGCTGTTGTACTAAATTACAAATTCAACAAGGTGGCCATTGAGCCAAAACACAGGGTGGAAGTTAAATTAATATCAGCAGGCACATTACTCAGGATAATTTATCCTCAGGTTGAACTGCTTTTCTTCCTGGTTCGATGGAGAGAATGCATGTGTGTGTTGGTTTCTTAGTTTAGTCGTACTTCAGTACAAATTTGTCCCCAGAAGTGTACTAAATATGACAAAACCTTACTTTGGATATGTCCAATTTATTGGACTTTATTATTATTATTATTATTTTAATAATTTAGAGTTTGGATTAGAATCATGCAGTACTATTTATAATTATCTTTAAATTAAAAAAAAAAGTACTTATTTTGATTGCTATGAAGATGTTTGTATTTGTGTGCATTTAAAGGGTTAATTTGTTGATTTTTCAACTAGCTTTGTATTGTTAAAGTGATATGTAAACAAAGAATGTATACTCGTTCTCTGTGTTACTTACACCAATAATATCCCTATTTATTTGTCAGCAAAAGTCAGCCATATGATGTTTTACATCATTCATCAGACTTTTGACAGTTTCAGGCCTTTTGTGAAAACTACAGTTCGTACTTCGCATTTTTGTATCCCCCTTCACACACAGTCAGATCTGTCCCAGTGCATTATGGGTGTTGAAGTTTTACTATCTTTATTCACCACAGCCCGTTTCTCTTTTTTCTCTAGTGATATAGCACTAGTTTTTAAAAGTGCCTATTTACTGTATAGACACAAACTTTATTAAAAAACCCTCTTTCCAAAAGTGAAGTAGCCCTTTAAGACCTATATATGTGTAGCTTCATGGCTAAACTCTACACCCAGTTAGGTCTAATACGAGTCTGGTTTGTGTAACAAGAAGCTCCAATTAATGTTGTTGGAAAAATCATCTTCTCAAGTAATGCATATAGAATCTTGGGAATTTTATTCAATTATCGTAAGATTGCTACTGTTTTATTCGGTGCATAATCTCTCAAGGGGTGCATGTTGTATATGCACTGTTGTTGTAGCTCTCATCTACATGTGACTGCATTTTAATTAATGAAAATGTCACAGGCTTATTGGGGGATCTTAGTCCTTAAGCTTGTTTAAAGCGATCTTTTTAAACTTGGCTTAGTGTCCTGCTGTTTCTTTATGTGAAGAGACGCTACTGCTCCTCACGTTGGGACTATTCACATAAATGAATGTGTCTAGTGATTTTCACAGTCAATCAAAAGGGCAGTGATGGCTAAGAAGGTGGAAGCATTTAGATCAAGGGTTTATGAAGGTCACAGATGAGTAAAGATGAAGAAGGGTTGGGGGATTACATTTGCAAGTCACCACCACCATCTGCACACACACATATTACTCAGTAACAGATGCTACTGGGGGCTTCATGGATACCGTTGAGGTATTTACCAACACATGTACATTTTATAACAGGCTTGGATTGGCAGTTATGTCCTCATGAAGACCCATAAAAGAACCATTTTTTTTTTCTATTGTGAAGAACAGTTCTTTTAAAAAAAAAATTCCACAATGAAGAAGCTTTTGTGCACTGGTAGTGTTCCATGGACGTTAAAGGTTCTTTGGATTGGCAGTTATGTCCGCATGAAGACCCATAAAAGAACCATTTTTTTTTCTATTGTGAAGAACAGTTCTTTAAAAAAAAAATTCCACAATGAAGAAGCTTTTGTGCACTGTTAGTGTTCCATGGACGTTAAAGGTTCTTCTCGGAAGTATAAATGCCAATAAAGAACCTTTAATTTTAAAAGTATAGATGGTGTTAAATATGAGCTCAGAATCAACATCTGTGCGGCTATGCATCACAAGGAAATATAGATGATGGGTAATGGCATAATTTGCTTACTTGAGTGAATTAATAGAATTGTATGTGTATATTCTTGGTTTTGTTGGTGATTTATATTTGTTGTGGTGTTTGCCCATGCCCAGGGACCCACACAAACTCCCCTGTGCTATCTTCAACCTTGAGTAGAAGCGGGCATGGTAGATGCCATCGGAGCTCCCCCCGGGGCTGGCGTTTGATACAGCCCTGTACAACTATTGTTAAAGGTGGGGACTGTCCTCAGGTATGGTGTCAACCACCAGCCCCACCTCCATATACAATACCATTACTTTGCAGACCCATTATTTACCGTATTGCTCCATGCACCAGTCAAGTGTTGACTTCCTTTACCCAGCATTATACCACCATTTACTACCCCCTATACAATTATTGGTCATTATCCATCATTGCATGTCCCTATAGGATAAGAGTATTACCCTGACTTTATCATGCCTCTACTGTATATATTTGATTTCATTGCTGCTTTCCTCTCCTCCTTGAATTCCCCTTGAATGCATATGTGTACATTCAACTATGACATGCAAACTCATGCAAAAATAAAATCGTATGTTTACATAAATTACATAAATATTATCCATTTGTAAAATCCCAAATTAGTTTGCAATAATTTTTTGTTTGTTTTTTGTTTTTGAAAGAAGTCTCTTATATTCGCCAAGGCTGAATTTATTTGATCAAGAATGCAGTAAAAACAGTAATGTTGTGAAATGATGTTACAATTTAAAAGAACTGTTTGCTATTTGAATATATTTTAAAATGTCATTTATTCCTGTGATGGAAAAGCTGAATTTTCACCAGCTGTTAGTTCAGTCTTAAGTGTCACTTGAGCATTTGCTATATGCATAAATGTAAAAAATAGATATGTAAATACAGAATTTAGTTGGGGACTAAAGAATGTAGTGTCTTTTTGTCAAGGTCATATGAAAGAGCTAGTTTATCCAAAAATGAAAGAAAATGTCATCACTTACCCTTATGTCGTTCCAAACCTGTATGAATTTATAACACGTTTTTTTGTTTTTTTTTTAGACATTGAATAGGGATGCAAGCTCAGATATTACTAAAAAGCACCAAAACTATCATACAATTAGTCAATATGACTTATGCATAATATTCCATGTCATACAATAGCTTTGTTCAAAATGAGGTTGCTTGAGGTTACTGAAATGTTAATCTTTATTATGCTTTGCATTTCACCTCCATATTCACTTTTTTGTCAATCAATCAATCAATCAATCAATCAATTTTGAGTCAATTTATTTTGCTAAATTTGTCTGTTCAATTAAACACCATAAGGCTAGATTGTGGCAGATGACAATAAGTCACAATTACCTAAGTGGTTTTCTCTCCCCAACAGATATCAATGCTCAAGCAAGGAAGCTGCAAAGAAACCGTGCTAAAGGTACAATGACACTCCAGCACAGCTCCTCATTTTGCCGCAGCCTCAGTGAAACCAGGCTTAACTTGGTGGGTCTGCCTGGTGAGGAACCTAAACGGTACTACTCCACCCTCCCAGGGCCAATCAGAACACGCTCCGCACGAGATGCAGAGACCCGTAAAGAACGAGATGGGGGTGGAGTTAAACACTCACTCTACCAATCACCACACTTGCTGCTCCTTCAAGGGTACAACCAACAGGTATAAGCAAAAATCACATATAAATGGTGTTTAAATGTTTGGGGTCAGTAAATATATATATTTTTTAAGATATCAACACTTTCTATTCAGCAAGGATGCATTAAAGGGGTCATATGATGCTGCTAAAAAGAACATTATTTTGTGTATTTGGTGTAATGAAATGTGTTTATGCGGTTTAAGGTTCAAAAAACACATTATTTCCACATACTGTACATTATTGTTTCTCAAAGCGTGTGGCGGAAATGTTATGCCCCTTACCATATGGTGATGCCCTGTCCGGCCGGAGCGTAACATAAAACCATATCTGCATTTGTGATCGGAGAAATGACAAACAACAAGTGCTACTCTACACTGCCCAAAAACGGGCTTGAGTGGGCTTGAGAACGGCGCGGCCAGCGGATTTGACGAAGGATCGTCCGGTGGGCTTGCGGCAACCACATGTGACGACCCCGGGCTGGTGGCAGGGAAGACATAATGTTACAAAAGATTTCTATTTCATTAAAATGCAGTTCTTTTGAACTTTCTATTATTCTTTTGATTTTCTATTCTATTTGTATTTCTATTCTTTATATTCATATCTATATTCTTGATCACCAAATCAGCATATTAGAATAATTTCTGAAGGATCATGTGACACTGAAGACTGGAGTAATGGCTGCTGAAAATTCAGCTTTGCATCATAGAAATAAATTACATTTTAAAATATAATAAAATAGAAAACAGTTATTTTAAATTGTAATACTATTTCACAATATTACTGTTTTTACTGTATTTTTGATCATATAAATGCGGCCTCAGTGAGCATAAAGAGACTTCTTTTAAAAAAATAAAAAAATTGTCCCCACTCCAAACTTTTGTGTGGTAGTGCATATATACTACGTCATATAATATATAAAACATCATAAATTGGTAAATTTAGATTTGATATGTCATGTAGGAATGTGTTTTTAAGCTGTTTTTAATCTGATTATTTTAATTTTATTATTTTGTGTATTTGCTTTGCTTTTATTTGTCAGGATTGTCTGGTTTACCTTTTGAATCGAGAGCAACACACAGTTGGTCAGGAAACAGCATCAGCACGGCCAAATATCTGCCTGTCGTCTCCGGATGTGCTTCCACTTCACTGCCGAATACGTCGTGCATCGCAACGGCGCTCTTCCTCAGACCAGCAGTTACTTTTGGAGCCTGTCGCCCATGGCAGTGTGCTGGTTAACTTCATGCGTATTGAGCGGCCCACTCCACTACGTCATGGGGATTTGCTGTCCTTTGGTGCTCATTACATCTTCCTGTACAAAGATCCACTAAGTGCGAAACCACTTCCTGCCCAAACTCTCACTCGACTCCGAGCGCTGGCACGACTATGCGATAGTGAGTCGGGTGGTTTGCCTGAGAAAGGAGAGGCATGTCGTATGTGTGGGGCCGTATTACATGAACCCGTGGCATCTAGGCGCAGCTCTAAGGCTCCTGTGCGAAGTGCACAGAAACGAAAGCTCATGCTGGAATTTGAGTGGGCTCATGAGGATGCGCTGGTGAACCGGGTGCTGACACTTATTGAGCCGAGTGGAGATGACCACAAGCTGACACCAGCATATTTGCTTTGTCTATGCATCAAACACTCAGCTCATACATTTCCTCCTGGCAGCTTCGGTAAACTATTGCTGAAAATTGCTAAGAGGATTCAGACAATAGCATGGGTTAGTACTCATATCAACAGCTTAGATGTGTTTGTGTTATTTTTTCACAATTAAAATACTTTTATCCCAATTTAATGTGCAGAGACAAATAAAAACAAGTTAGTTTTAGGTTTACTTCCCTGAAAAGTAGGGATGCACAATATATTGGTACCATATTGGATATTATCGGTATCAGTTGGTATTGGATATTTATCATTCTGACATGACACTTGACATGCAGACAAAAATATATTTATTGTGGCCACAATTAAAAAAATGGTTCCTGCATTTTAATTAAATTGTGGCCGTGAATTAAGAATTCGTTCCCATGACTTATTCATTTTTTTTTTCTTTGTTGTAGTAAATCGTGGTACTAATTAGTAAATGTTGTACTAATCGATTTCATTTAATTCAACATGGCCACAATTTACTAAAATTCAATTTACTAAAATTTACTAAAAAACAAATTCTTAATTCATGGCCATGATTTAACTAAAACAAGGGAAGGAATTCTTCATTTGTGGGAACTAATTCTTAAATTGTGGCCACAATAAATATATTTTTGTCCGCATATCATGTCTGGGGCTCCGTACAATATAGACCAATAAATATCTAAAACCAATCGATAACAATAATTTAAATATCCAAAATGGTATCAATATATTATGCATCCCAACTTTTAAGTGAAATAAACTTATACATTTCTATTCATCATCCCACTTAAAATTTATCTTTAAAAACTCTAGTAATTAAATTATTAAATTTAATAATACTGTCGCTGTAAATGAAATCTCAAAATGAGTATCCATTTTAATTTTACTTGATAATGTTGTCATGTCTTAATTCACTTCTGCCATTTAAAACAATTGATATTAGCTTTTATGAAATTATACACTTTACCTTTCAGAAAAGTCATTTAAAACTTTTAATTTCTTGCAGCGAATACGCACATTTACACAGATTTGGCCCACTCAGTGGTCTGTTACCCAAACCCAAACTACATTACCCACAATCCTCTGGCTCAACACTGTAGTTGATATCATGTCACTGAGACTGATTGTGTTTCAGTATGGGAGAAGAAAATGATGGAAAGGCGAGCACAGCAAGTCTGGTCTCCATCACAAATGACTTTCCAGGGTTTAATTTACAATGTTGCCCTTCAATAATGAAAGAGCTTTCATAGATACTGCATGTTTGTAATGTCCAAGGTGTTTCTTATTTATATAATGCACAGCAAAAGAATTTGCATAAACTGGATAAATCCCAGATGACCCATTGATTGATTTTCTGCTGTGAGCGTCAGTACTGCATAAGTCACCTCATATACCCTTTTGTCTTTGTTGACAAATGCATTTGCCTTTGTTGATTTAAACACTACAAAATTAGCTGAATCATGTAATTTGTGAATGTCCCTTTAATCTAGTCCCAATGAAACCATCCTGAAGCATTTAATGACTGTCTTTAAACTCATTAATTATTAAAATCCAATTTTAGAAGGTCAACTGTCAGCCCCAATATTATTAACCATACAAAGAAAAGAGCAAGAAAGAAAAGTCTGAAAACGAAGAAATGATACCAAGGTGTTATACCTCCCACATGAAGCTATTCAAAAGTTTATGACATTAATTGCCATCCGTGTCTGTGTCTCGCAGGAGAAGACAAAGGAGTTGGCACAGAAGCAAGCTCAGCAGTGAGTATCATGTTCCGCCTTATAATACGCACATGTGTGCACTTTGAACGTGTGACACTCTAAGGTCATGCGGTGGTGAATAGGCGGTCACTAATTCTGAAGCCATTGCCACTGAATCAAACCAATGAATGTGTGTTTTTGTGTGGTTATACAGTCAAGATCCTGCCTCGCTGTCTCTGCTCAGCATCTCAGACCTAGTACCTGATCTCCAGTTCATTTACTTCTGGATGTCCAATGCCATTGAAATACTGTATTTTATCCAGCAGAAATCACCTGCGTACATGCAGACTATTGAGCTCATGGATGATAAAGGTATGAAACACACTCTGCACTTGTAAAGAACGGATTGAAAACTGGGTCAATGGAGCCCAATACTGACAAAATTAAGAACAAGATTAAATAGACAGGAGGATTAGGGTGTATAAAAGACATAAGATATTGCATTTCTTCTAATTATATTTTTTTCTGTTCCTTATTGCAGCGGGATCTAAAGAATCTCTCCTCTCAGCAACAATATCAGCAAATGAAGAAGCTATGACCATACTAGAGGAAGTGATCATGTACACCTTTCAGCAGTGTGTTTACTACATCACTAAGGTAAAAGGTAGTGTTACGTTATATGTGTGGCGCCACCATTGTAAGATGTTACCAGGGCTGCTGGGAATGAATTATTTAATGTGTGTGTGTGGCTGCTGGTTTGCTTGCGTGTCTTTTAGGTCTTCTTCTCCTCCACCTCCTGTCCTCATGCCCTTCTCTGTTTGTAGACTGTTAGTCATTTTTTGTTTTATAGATTTTTTTTTTGTAATTTATTCACTTTAATTGAATTAATAACTTAGTAAGTTAATTATTCACTTAATTATATAGCAGTTAATTTCCAGGATGAATTGCAGTTAATTAAATATCAGTATTCCGAATAATAAAATTATAATTCAGAGACTTTATTGTGCCGGATGAGTAAATCATTGAATATTTATTACAGAAAGTGGATGTAGAGGTCAAATTGTTTAGTTTTATTTACTGTTCAAAAGTTTGGGGTCAATAGGATTATTATTTGTATTATTATTATTATTGAAACAAAGAAACTAATACTTAATTATTTAGCAAGAATGCGTTAAATTGATCAAAAGTGACAGTAAAGTCATTTATAATATTACAAAATATTTCTATTTGTTGTAATATGTTGTTCTTTTAAACTTTCTATTCATCAAAGAATCCTGAAAAAAATAATAATAAAATAAAATATTATGGTTTCCAAAACAATATTAAGCAGCCCAACTGTTTTCAACATTGATAATAATAAGAAATGTTTCTTGAGCAGCAAATCAGTATAGTAGAATTATTTCTGATTTATCATGTGACAATGAATTACAAAATATTACAAAAGAAAACAGTTAGAAAACAGTGTCTAATAACTCTAGAGACGCAGGAGAATGACTACGCTGATGGAACCACAATAAATCAAACCTTCATTAGCTGTATATATTTTTTAAAGAATTAATCCCACTATATTAATATATCAAATTGACAGCCCTAATAATAGTGTCTGTCTGTAGGTGTCTGGCTATTCATATCATAACAAATGCCTGTTCTTTACATTTCAGTCTTTGTACGTTGCGTTGCCCGGCCTGTTGGACTGTAACCCATTTGGGACGGAGTCTTCATCAGAGCAGTGCCGGCGGGCAGTTGGAGTGTGTGTGTGTGCCGTGTGTGTGATGCCAGAGGCAGTTCGCAGGGTGGTGAGTGTGTTTCAGACTACATCAGACCTGCTGCAACAGTACCAGGTTCATTCAGAGATTCAGAGTCAAATGTTCGCCTACCTCTTCTTCTTCACCAACGTCTCACTCTTCAATCAACTCATCGATAAAGGTTTGTTCAAGCTCAGCTTCTACAATCTTTTTACCTCTTTGATTTCTGTGTTTAGCACACACACACATTCAAAACACTCAAATATTATGGTCATATATTTTTATTAAGCAGGCACTGCTGCTATGGCAACAACAGGACACAGGTAGTGTGTCTGCAGTTGCAGGCAAAAGAAAAAGGGGCAAGAGACATACAAATAATGAAACAAGTGCTGCATCCCAATGTGCCTACTTATACTACGCCCTTAAAGTATGTACTCTTTTGGTATAAGAAAAAGTACACACTTTTGAGTGTGTAGTAGAAGAGTAGGCAAGCTTTGGGACATACTATGATGTCATACAATTGCGTCTTTAACGGACCGCTCTGTCGCATAGTTACACGCACTCTGTCACTGTAAACCAGGAGTCACCAAACTTGATCCTGGAGGGCCGGTGTCCTGCAGACTTTAGCTCCAGCTTGCCTCAACTCACCTGCCTGGAAGTTCCAAGTATACCTAGTAAGACCTTGATTAGCTGGTTCAGGTATGTTTGATTAGGGTTGGAGCAAAACTGTGCAGGACACTGGCCCTCCAGGACCGTGTCTGGTGACCCCTGCTGTAAACTGTAAACACATCCACCATGTTTGTAGTTTTTTCAACGCTTTTTATTTGTGTTTGTAGTTCTGAACTGAGTCTTTCACCAAAGAACAATGGATTGTGGGCAATATTAGCCATTAGAGTGTGCACGGATCCACACTTCAAAAAAATCTACCTGAAAGGGTAGACCATCAGGGGACTTTTGGCATACTCTTTTCAACAGTATGCTTTGGGACACACTTATTTTAATCTCACATACTATTTAAGATGGATAGTATGAACATTGGGCCACAGAATCTATGTCAAAATGGAGACTGATGAATTGGAGCAAAGTATTTATTCTGCCCTCTAGTGTTGAAGATACAGCAACCGCTGAGCCAATGCACTTTCCCCATCAGTTCTTAGGGAATAAATATTTGCTTCCTTTTGTTCCAGATTGTCTTTTTTCTTGGTACCTGACAAAAAAATATATATATATATATATTTAGCAGAAGTTTAAAAGAACAGCATTTGAAACAGAAATAAATGTAACATTATAAATGTCTTTGCTGTCACTTTTGATCAGTTTACTGCATACATAGTAAACATATTAAATCCTTAATCAACCCCACACATTTTAACAGTAGTATAAGCTTAAATTTGATATATTTCAATACCATATTTACATTTTTTAATAATTTTGTTTCAGTCAGTATTGCATGCCCTTACCAAAAAGTAGTATACTTCAAGTTTATTTTAGTAAGTATACTTAAGTAAAGTTCAAGTATATTTTTAAGTATACTTTATGTAGTAGGTATACAAATATCAGTGTTCTAATACTAGTCAAAACTGAATAGTTGATATCTCAATGACGGATCCCAATAGAAGTCAATGGCAAAAATTTATTTATTTTTTACTAGTAACAATATAATAGTTACTAGTCACTATTGAAATAAGTACTAAAAAAACACTAGTACGTAAAGAATAAGCACTGGTAGCTACAGAATAAGCACTAGTACCTAATGAATAAGTACTAGTACTTAATGGAAAAGATACTAGTATCTAAAAAATAGGTACTAGTACCATGAAAATAGATACTAGTACGGCTTATAGATTAAATGTTACAACGGCTTTCCATAGTTTTATGTCTGATGATCGTGTTAGAATACATGGGGAAGCATCTGTTGTTTCGGTTTCTTCTTCACTTGTGTTTTTTGGAAATTCTGTACAGAAAATGTGTACTAGCGCCCCCTACAGTATAACAATGAAAACACGGATTCTAGGAGCACAATTATAGCTAAAATATATTTAGACTTTTTCTAAGTATAAGTCAAGTATACTTCAATTTAATTTTAAGTATATTTCTGATAAGTACATAAATCCCATTTCTGAGAAGTACATAAAAAGTAGACTAAAAGTATACTTTCCTATTTTTAGTTTAAAAGAAGTATAACTAATAGCACACTTGAATAAACTTCTTTTTCGTAAGGGTGTTGCAAAACCATCACCAGTTTCCTTTTTTAAAGGGCAGTAAGACACATGTCATTTTTGTGTGTTCACATTATTCATGGTCAGGTGAAGATTATTTCTTCAGACACTCATAATCCTCTTTATGTCATAACAGACAGAGGATCAGAGCTGGTCTTACACACAAACACCCACTTACACTCACACAATGTGACGTAATACTGTAGTAAACTTATCATGCTGAATCAGTATTTACATAAGCTTCTTAATTTTATTACCAGTATTACAGTATGGCATGATTCTGAAAAGTGTTTGTTTAGTGTACGCATATGTATCCTTTGTGTAACAATTGAACATGTGATTGTGTGTTTGTAGGCCCCGCACGTGGCTGGTTTCAGCGTTCTCGGGTCCTGCAGATCCAGGCTAGTGTGAAAATGCTACTGGACTGGGCTAAAGGAGCAGGGCACAATCATCTCGCCCAGAAATTATTTGCCAAGTTCTGTAGTGCTGTGAGCATCCTGGCTACACCCCCTCAACAGCTTTCACAGGTAACGCACTGAAGCTAGGTGTGTTGGGCTGTTCTTTAATTTCTCAGGTTTTGTATTGTGTTCATTATTTGTGTTTTTGCATATGCCAATTATTATGCTGCTTTACAAAGGCAAAACAAAAACAGACTAAAAATAAAACCGAAAATAGCATTGCACTGTTTTTTGATTGAATTTTATAAATTTTATTTTTCATAGGAGAGAAATTGATATCTGTTTCATTAAAGTATAGGAAATCTGGTTCTTTCAGATCATATTCAATCTGTCAAAAAAAAAAAATCATTGGTTAATTTGAGTCTAGTAGTTCATGCATATTATAAATATGTATTTATTTATTAATATACTTAATTGCAGTTAGCAAAATTAATTTTAAGCTAAGTTTATTTAGATATATAAATTGTATTTCTAAACGGTTCTTAATATTATTAAAATGTTCTTCACACTGAGAAAACATAGTTCACTGAAAGGTTATTTGAGAAACCAAAACTGGTTCTTCTATGGCATTGCTGTGAGAATCCCCATTTGGAACCTTGATTTTTAGTGTGTGTCTCTGAAGCCTGTCCAGCTACATAGAATCCTCACACAGTACCAGCTCATGGCTGAGCTGGGTCCTCTACCAATCTGGCAACCCAGCAGTGAAGATGAGGCATATATCTACAGAACAGGTAGACACATAAAAGGCATAAAAATGAATCCTCTCCATTTTATCTCCAGAGACATTGTGCTTTCTAGTGTACATTATGCATATGCATCTTTTCAAAAGTTGATCTAGTGGAGAGTTTTGAGAACCACCCTCCTATTGTGCTGCCGAGTGCTGGATTCAAGGTGGACCTGGAGAGTGACAGTGTAGAGGACAGTATATACCGCCAACTACTTTACGTTCGTCACTTCCTTTGGGGTCTTCGTACCAAGACCCATTCTTCTAATGGCTGTGCAGACCGTCAGGATGCTCAGGTGACACATGATCCTTCAGAAATCATTCTAATATGCTGATCTGCTGTTCAAGAAACATTACTTATTTTTACCAATGTTGAAAACTGTTATGCTGCTTTGTATTTTTTTGTGGTATTTATCAGCATCTGACTTTTGCAAGTCATTCTTAATAACTGTGAACTAATTGAAGGACTGTAGCTTAAAACTTTAAGATTTAAATTCAAGACATGAGAGTCATTCTTAATTCGATTACAAGATTAGCTGTTTAAATAGGAGCTGCCGGCTAAATTATGGGCCATGTGTGAGTCAGTTTACAAAGAAAAAATGCTACAAATTTCCCAGTGTTGCTACATTGTTTAAAGATTATCCCAGGCTTATTTCATTGTTTGTTTGTTTCTGTCATCAGTTTAATTGCCAGTTTAATCCTCCACCAGAGTACTGGAGTAATGTTGATTTATCTTTCAACTACTCAAGCAGTTGAAATCAACAAAATGCACAGTTCCTATTATAAACCCTTTAACAAAACACCTTTCTTTGTATAACACTGGGAGATCAAAATCTATTTGAAGATAATACAATTTCTCCAATGTATTTTGGATTTCCAGCAGAGGGCAGCCAATCCTATTCATTTATGTGGTAGTCACTATATTAATGCATTTTAGCTGAAACTGTGAAGCCACTGTCTTCAAAATATTGTAGGAAATAATATAAATAAAGTCCTTTTCTCCAAAGCAAAATTTTACAATTTTAAAATCATATTTTTTCATCTCATCATTGCATTCAGTCTATAAATATGCCAAAAGTCAACATGGAACCAGCATGTAAATAAATTAAAGGAATAACTGACATCTTTGATCTTAAGGTTTTTTTTTTTTTTCATTATTATTAAGGGTTGTCAGCTTTTGTTTTGCTCTGTGATAAAATATCAATATTAATAAATGATGATAACATGGTAATTCTGTTCTCCAGCGTGAGCCTCCTCAGCCTCACTCCAGTCCACATCCAGCACCTCCTTTGCGTGGGGAGGGAGAGGGGGAGGTGCGGGGCTCCTCCGCGGGTATCGGAGGAAGAGGAGAGGGAGCTGGAGCTGAGGAACGACCCAGAGACAAGCCGCCGCATAGCAAGGGTGAGGGGGAGGTGCGGGGCTCCTCAGCGGGTCTCGGAGGAAGAGGAGAGGGAGCGGGAGCTGAGGAACGACCACGAGACAAGCTGCCACATAGCATTCATTACAGAAACGGGACCAGCATCCGTTACGCCAACCAAACCCAAGCGACAGACTCTTCTTGTATACTGACTCCACCTAATACGCCCCTCTATCCGGAACACATGTATATACACTCCAACACACAGTCCAATCCTGCCCACTACCCTGAGTATGCTTCACAAGAGCACACACATACACATTCTCACACAAAGTCCAATGGTTGCATGCGTTCTACTCCAGAGCACAAGAAAATCAATGGCTTCGTCAGCAATGGCATTGAAGGCAAGTCAAAAACGCCTTTTGGGTCGTGGATGTGTGTGTTCTTTCTGCTAGATTTTGTCTTTTGGGTCATTCCTGTCATTCAGTATTTTAAATTAAATAAAAATTGATGTTTTTCTTTAAAGGAATGGTTCACCCCAAAAATTTTAATTTGCTGTAAATTTACTCTCAGGCCATCCAAGATGTAGATGAGTTTGTTTCTTCATCAGAACAGATTTGGAGAAATTTACATCATTACATTACATCACTTGCTCACCAATAGATCCTGTGAAGTGAATGGGTGCCGTCAGAATAATAATCCACAATAAGCAATCCACACGACTCCAGTCTGATAGAACTTTATTGATTTAACTGGATTATTTACTAAATGTTTCCATCATCAAAAAATAGAGCCTACAACAGGATGGCAATAAAGACCATTTTTAATCAAATTTTGAAATATATCTTGAAATAGCATGTCAATTTCTATTTTTTTTTATCAAACTGAATGTAATTTTTTAGAGTAAGACAAACAATACAAGACAAAAAAACACCACCGAATTCATTAAATCCATTACTAATACTTTTTCTTATTAATTAATAATAAAAAAGATGCTAATGTATGATTAATAGTGAAGTGCTGTGGTTTTCTCACCAAAAACTGTCATTTCCTGGAACATGATATTATTTAGGAGCTGCATTTTCTTAAAGGCATATTGCAAAAGACTAACAGGATTGAAAAGAGAGGACAATTGAGTTAAAAAAATAAATAAATAAATAAATAAATTCATTACCAATTTTTTTTTTTTAAATCCTCAATTTTGATATTGTTATAAAAGAAAATAAGATATTAAATAAAATCATTTTTATATTTTATCAAATTGGGACATAATGAAGATATGAAAATGTACTGTGTAGTAGGAATGACTCTGTTAATGTCTGCACATGTTAGTTTTGATTATTCAATAACAGAAATGTAATCATGTCTGATTTACATCTCTTTTATTTCACTTGAATGAGTTTATGTGTGAATGCATGTGTTTATTTCTTACAAACATATGCACAGATTTCTATGTGTACAGTTCTGTCAGTTTTCTGTGTGTTTACTTTCTGCATCATTTAATAACTTTGCTTGCATGAGCAGCAGATGCATTTGCACATTGTGAACATATTGATTTTGTTTATTGGCCTGACTTCGGAGTCTGTGTGTGCGTCAGAGCACTGAGTCCTGTGTGTTTTTTTTTGTTTATCCCTGCCCCACTCCAGGCCCTTTGAGTGGTTGTGGTTTTCCTTTCCCTGTCCCTGTCTCTCGTCTGGCCCCAAACTCTGATGATATCTGTTCCGTCTTTGTAGTGGACCTGGATAAAGGACCTTACGGCCTGGGAATGGGACTTATCGATGGACTTGTGAGTCTGCGCAGTATTGGTCTGCTGACATTTAACACTGATGGTCAAAGTTCTATGCCTATAACCATAACACTATAGATTTGTTCCAAAACCTAGACAGCATGTTGCTAATACACACCATATACTCTAGGCTCATTGGAAAAATGCAATTTCCAGATGAAATTAAAACGAGCGGTAATAAAACACCAAAAAAAAAAAAGTATTGCTTTTCAAACAAATCATGATTACAATGGCAGATTTTCTATTAATAATGCCATGTTTATGCATGGTTCCCTTTTCAATACATTGTAATCATCTCAAAACACATTTATCATCCTGCATGATTTGTAAACTAATTAAAAATCATCATTTTGACAGTTGCATCACATAACCAGCTCCATAAATATGGCTTTTCTGTCGTAGTAAACTTGCTCGGTAGCGCACCTGGTACAGTTGCGATGTGGTTCATTTGGGTACGAGTCTTGTGTAACAAAACTCACGATAAAAGAGCTCAAAGACTTGTAGAAGCAAGATCAAATGTCATGGTTGCTTCAGCAGATATGTTTTTACTTCATTTTGCTTTTGTTAACACTACTGGTTAGGTTTAGTGGTTTTCAAATGTGATAGAGCATTAACCTTTTAAGCGCCACACATTTCCGAATGGCTGCGATACGTACAACAATCAACATAATGAAATGTTGCCAGATTCATGTTTATCTGTTTCAGATAAAACTAAATGTCCTTCAATGTCACTCACTCGACATTTCACTTTGAAAGTTTAGGGAAGCATGCAAGAAGCAACTTGCAGGAATGATGCAGCAGACACATTTTTCCAATAAGAGTATCATAAAGACACTCACTACTTGAAGGTGTTCATAAACGTCACCAGTAAAATGATGCTGCTTTATATCCTGATTTAGTCCAAATATAATGCAGTATTACATCCTCCATGGTAATCCCAGAATGTTTTGCAACAGGCTAATTAAAAATCATCCAATACAATTGACATGTTAAGAGAAACTATTATATTTATAGACAGCAAGGCAGCTTAGGTTTTGGAACAGAGCTCGTATTTTCAACCCTCAATATTATTATTATAAAACAGAAAAATAAATAAAAGACTTTTACATTTTGTGCTGATCAGTTTCTATTTTCCTGATTATGTGTTAGATCATTTGTTTGCATGCATGCTAAAAGTGGTGAAAAAAATAAAAAATAACACAAAGTTCTGATTTATATCATGAGCTGTAAAAAAACTAGCTTGATGAAACTTTCTTTCACTATGATTTTCTGTTTTAAAAGAAACAGGCAACAAACAGGTCTCTGTTTTCTCATTCTCGCAATATAGCACACCCCTCTGAACTCTCCTGGAATCTACATCAGGACACTGATTCCAGATGGACCAGCTGCTGCAGATGGGCGACTTTGCATTGGTGACAGAATCCTGGCAGTGAATGGGACCAGTCTCATTGGGGCAGACTACCAGAGGTCAGTGCTCTATATACATCATCGGCCAGCAGTTAATGTTTGCAATCAAAGTTTTAACTTAACATTTTCACCAGGCATGATCCGTTGCAATATAAATGTGTTCTTTTAACCCTGACGTTTGAATCCCGCTCTGTCTGTCTCTCACAGTGCTGTCGATTTGATTCGTCTGGGGGGAGGACGGCTCCGGTTTCTTGTCGCCACATCAGATCTTGAAGTATCAGAGAAGATCAGTGCGTCTTCCTGCTGAGGAGAGGCTGCAAGTGTAACCCTCTACCTAGACTAAATATGAGGAGGACAGCGATTCCTCCTTTCCGAGACCGGAGAACAAGCACACTATAGGACCTCTCAGTGACTACAGCTCTCTGTCTCAGCCCTGTGCAATACTGCACTCTTTCTCATTCAGAATGACAGTATGACATCTCTGTCTTACTTTTCCTCTTAGCCAGACTGGTTTTGTTCCTTGAATGTCAAGGAATATTGAATAAGAAGGTATTTGTTCACATAATCAGGCTGATACTGTAAAAACAAAGTAATATTCACATGATAGCAGACATGAAATGGGGCGAAAGTGGGATTTAAAGTTTTGCTCTTAAATAGAAACCAAACAATAGAAAGAAAAAAAAGACATTTAATGGCTTTGCTAAAAGGCACAAATGAGTGTTTTTACAAATATCCTTCATGGTTGATAAAAAAAAGATTTGAGATTAATCTCTTCCGAAATTTCTGTTTTTTAAATGTATTTATTTTATTGATAAAATCTCTACAGGTACAAAGCCTCTCTCTCTTTCAAATTGATAGTAAATAAAATCTTGGCTAAAATACTTGATGGTTTCCACACTGAAAATTATATATGCTGAACAACTGCACTTCAAGAGCCTCATTTCATGGTGCAACTCACTTTGTTCCTCGCTATGTAAATATCTTAACAAAATTATCCGTTTCTTATGTTAGCAGTATTCACAATGGCAATGATTTTAAGTTCAATAACCTACAATCTGCATATATATATATATATA